AGCACCTTACAATGAGCAGACATCGGAGGTTGACCTTTGTCACTGGCATGTGCATGAATCTCAAACGCGGGGTGTTCCTCATAGTCGATCTTACCTCCGACTAAAATTGCACCCGTTTTAGCGTCTATTTTAAATAAATGTAAAATCTGATCCTGTCCTTTACTTCTTAATGAATATTCTATTTCAGCATTTACACCCTCGTCTGCGTCTGTTGCATTCAAAACTATCACAGTTTTTCCGACTGCTAAGTTCTCAGAAATACGTACCTTGTACAACGAACTGCTGAAAACAGGGGCGTTGTCATTATTGTCTAAAACGTTTATAACGATTAGAGAGGTTGCTGATTTGGGTGGATTTCCACCGTCCACAGCAGTCACTGTTAGTCTTACAGTATGTTGTTTTTCTCGGTCTAAAGCTTTCTGGAGCACAAGCTCGGCAGACACACTCTCTCCCCCTTTGTGAACCTCTAAAGTAAAATAATCATTTGGACTTAGTTTGTATGTACTAACGCTATTCTTACCAACATCGACATCCGATGCCCCTATGAAACCAAATGTTCCTCCTGGCACGGTACTTTCAGCAATGTTAAGAGACTGCAATGTCTCAGCGAAATATGGCGCGTTATCATTTATGTCGATTATATTTACCTCTAAACGGTAAAGCTTCAGTGGATTGTTAATCACTGCCTCTACATTCACAGAACATTTTGTAGCTTTCACACAAAGCTCCTCACGGTCGATTTTTTCATTGACATAAAGAACACCAGTTTTCAGATTTATCTCGAAATATTTTCTCTTTGATCCGCTAACGATCTGAAACATACGTGCTTCCAAGTCGTGGACATTAAGGTTTAGATCCTTAGCGAGATTTCCCACAGAAGTCCCCTGGTTTACCTCTTCTGATACAGAGTAAGAGAGCTGTAAAGACACCGCTTCACAGCAAGAATCCAAAAGAACAACGAGTATATATATCCCAAAAGGGCTCCGTATCATCCGCGTCGACATATTTTGATCCAACGTGAACAGAACATATGTATTCTAATGTCCAAAATCCCGTCTAATAAATGAGGATGCAAGCTATCCACAATCCAGTTTCCTTGCTGTTTGAGGTGCAACCGACAAAATGATGGCCACACAGTCCATTCTTGCACTGCATCTCTTTGTAACAAAGGCCGGGAACCATAATAGTCTTCTGAATCTGGGAGGAGCCTGACGCTACATAGATGAACATCTAAATCTGACGGTCTACAATGTCACCATGTGGTCGTTTAAATTAACTACATTCACTGCTAAATCACATCATACTTCTGAACTCTCAATTCAATGCACAGCTAACAATGTTTCACAAATTAAACGACACAGAAATAAGAAAAAAACTGTCAGATTTCCTTCTTTACTCATTTACAGATTTCTATTAGTACAAAAGCGCAAGTTCTTCAGAGCGACTACATGTGGTGAAATCTCCACGTATTATTACATATAGATCGTTTTCAGACAGCACTGAACATACCCTCCTGACAGCACACACCACACTTTGTTGCGCCCAAGTAACAAACTATGTTGCTTATTTCAGCACCATGGACAACGAAAATGAATGAGAGTCTTAATATGTTAACTTCAAAATTGCCATTACGTGAGCCCATGTAGGTATACTTATAATAAAACAGGTTTTCAAATACAGAGTGGTAATTTCATTCACAAACAAATTGAACACGGGGAGACATGTTCTCAGCTGAAGCCCTGAAGAATAAAGCAGCACATCCAATGAAACATGTTGCTTTTTCATAATTATCTTACCTTGTCTTTGGTGGGTAAAGTCTGAGTTCTGTTAAAAGTGTCTCCTCCGTTAATACTG